GCTGAGCCTGGGGGTGCGGGGTCTGGGGGTGCGGAGCCTGCGGGTGCTGAGTCTGGGGGTGCTGAGCCTGGGGGTGCGGAGCCTGCGGGTGCTGAGTCTGGAGGTGCTGAGCCTGGGGGTGCTGAGCCTGGGAGTGCTACGTCTGAGAGTATTGAGCCTGAGCGTGCTGCACCTGGGGGAGGCCTCTCCTTGCAGCAGCTGCGTGAGTGGTACTTACAGTACTGCAGCCTCAGGAGAGGTGCTTCTAGAGCTCGGAGTGGTGCCGGAGCTGGTGCTAGTGCTTCCCCTCCTAGGCGGGAGCTGCCCTCTCCCCAGCAGCTCCGAGAGTGGTACGCTAGGCGCTGCAGTCTCCGGAGTGGCGCTCCCGGTGTCGTGGACTCTGGAGCTTCTGGAGTTACTGGAGGTGCTGCTGCTGCTGGCGGTGCGGCTGGCGCTGCTGGAGGTGCTGCTGGTGCTGCTGGAGCTGCTGGAGGTACTGCTGCTGCTGGAGGTGATGCTGGCGCTGCTGGAGGTACTACTGGTTCTGGTGCTGCTGGAGCTGCTGGAGGTGCTGCTGCTGCTGGCGGTGCGGCTGGCGCTGCTGGAGGTGCTGCTGGTGCTGCTGGCGCTGCTGGAGGTGCTACTGGTGCTGGAGCTACTGGAGCTGCTGGTGGTACTGCTGCTGCTGGCGGTGCTGCTGGCGCTGCTGGAGGTGCTGCTGGTACTGGTGCTGCTGGAGCTGCTGGAGGTGCTGCTGCTGCTGGTGGTGCTGCTGGCACTGCTGGAGGTGCTGCTGGTACTGGAGCTGCTGGGGACCCTGCTGCTGCTGGCGGTGCTGCTGGAGCTGCTGGGACTGGCCCTGCTGAGGGGGTTGGAGCTGGAGGTGCTGAGCGGCCACGGCCGTACTACGTTCCGCTCCTTCAGCAGGTTCTTGGCCTTCCGCCCTCTCCTGGTCCTACTCCTCCCCTACTGAGTCCACCGCTTGTCCAGTCGCAGTCACAGTTACAGCCAGTCTCTCCACTTCCTGGTCCTTCTCCCTACACTGCGCTGACGGGAGGTCTTACGGAGCGTCGTGAGCCTGAGTCTCGTCCTCCGTCGCCTGAGACGCGTCCAGAGTCGCCTGTCCGCGCTGTCCGCGCTGGTCGTCGTGTTCCACGTCAGCGTCCTCCTCCTGTCCTTGGCACTCACTATATGACCCTGCGTCCCTCTACTGCTCCACAGCGTGTCCCACTGCCGTCTCCACCAGCGTCCTCTCTTCCTGCTCTTGCTGACCCGGAGTCTGACTCTCTTCGTGCTGCCAGTCCTACTGTCACGCGTCTCCTTGCCACTGCTGTCACTGACCCTTCCTTTGAGTCCTCTGCTGCGTCTGCTCTAGTCGCTGAGCTTGTTGACTTTGCTGCTGCCTGTCGTCTAGACCACGCCGCTAGCCTTGTTGCTGAGTCTGAGTCTGAGTCTGTCTGTCCTCCGTCTGTCGGGGGTGAGTGTGCTCTTGGCACGGACGTCCTTGAGGACAGACAGGAGGAGTTTGAGTGCTTTGCCGCTGCTTTGCCTCATCTCGTGTCCATGCTAGTTGCCCCTGAGGGAGACCCGGATGCACCAGACATCCTGACCCCACGCTCCTACGCAGAGGCGATGGAGGGTCCCTACTCCTCTCAGTGGCAGACAGCCATGGACGCAGAGATGGCTTCCTGGAAGTCCACAGGCACCTACGTCGACGAGGTTCCCCCACCTGGGGCGAACATCGTCAGTGGCATGTGGATTTTCAGGGTGAAGCGGCCGCCGGGTTCTCCGCCTGTCTTCAAGGCGCGTTACGTTGCACGAGGCTTCAGTCAGCGAGAGGGAGTTGACTTCTTCCAGACCTTCTCCCCGACCCCGAAGATGACCACTCTTCGGGTTCTGCTGCACGTCGCTGCTCAGCGGGACTACGAGCTCCACTCTCTTGACTTCAGCACTGCGTTCTTACAGGGCAGCCTGCACGAGGAGATCGGGCTGCGCCGCCCACCTGGCTTCACTGGGTCGTTCCCTCCTGGTACCCAGTGGAGCCTCCGGCGGCCAGTCTACGGTCTCCGCCAGGCACCCCGTGAGTGGCACGACACACTGAGGACTACTCTTGCTGCTCTTGGGTTTGCTCATTCTACTGCTGACCCGTCATTGTTTCTACGCACCGACACCACTCTGCCGCCGTTCTACGTTCTTGTTTACGTAGACGACTTGGTCTTTGCTACTGCTGACACTGAGGCACTCGCCCACGTGAAGTCGGAGCTGCAGAAGAGACACACGTGTACAGACCTGGGTGAGCTGACAAGCTATCTTGGCTTGCGGATCACCCGGGACAGAGCACAGCGCACCATCACCTTGACTCAGTCACACATGGTGCAGCAGGTCCTTCAGCGCTTCCGCTTCACGTACTCCTCGCCTCAGCCCACTCCTCTGCCTACCGGTCACTCGCTCTCAGCTCTGCCTTCGGATGAGTCCGTAGAGCCGAGTGGCCCGTATCCAGAGCTTGTGGGCTGCCTCATGTACCTGATGACCTGCACTCGACCTGACCTGGCATACCCTCTTAGCATCCTAGCACGCTATGTCGCTCCCGGCCGTCACCGGAAGGAGCACATGGATGCCGCTAAGAGGGTGTTGCGCTACTTGTGCAGTACGTCGGGCATGGGGCTCGTGCTTGGAGGTCGGAGCGACGTTGTCCTCACGGGTCACTCAGACGCTTCTTGGGCTGACGACCAGGCTACGCAGCGGTCGTCTCAGGGTTACACCTTCAGCCTTGGCTCTGGTTCAGTTTCTTGGCGTTCTACTCGCTCTTCTTCTGTTCTCAGCTCCAGTTGTGAGGCTGAGATCTACGTCACAGCCATGGCTGCACAGGAGTTACGCTGGCTCACCTACCTGCTGACCGACCTGGGAGAGCGGCCTCGTTCTCCTCCAGTGCTGTACGTTGACAACAAGGCCGCCATTGCCTTGTGTGAGGAGCACAGACTGGAGCACAGGACGAAGCACATCGCTCTGCGCTACTTCCTTGCTCGAGAGCTGCAGCAGCGTGGTCAGCTTCGTCTGCGTTACGTGGCCACTCGGGCCAACACTGCTGATGTGTTCACCAAAGCGCTTCAGCTTTGTGACCATCAGCGTTTCTGTACTGTTCTAGGCCTTGTGCCTATTCTCCCTCACTTGCTCACTTCTTGACTCTGCTTGTACTGTGATCTCTATATATATATACCTGCATGTTTACTCTTGTTAGGTTGTGATCACTGTACCTCTTGTTATATTATCAAACTGCATGTGAACTGGTCTTGTGACCACTTGCTTGTGCTCGGAATTTGTGTGGTTTCCTTGAGATCCACCCTGAGCTTGCTTTGCTTTGCTTTGACTGGTCTTGTGACCATCTGGTTGTCTCCCACTTAGCCTATGGGGGTGTGTCAAACATTATACATGTTCATATTGTGTAGGCTATAGTGGGTTTAGCCTTAGGGGGTACAACATTGCTAGGGTTTCCTACTTGTATCACCCTGCTGCCTAGTTTCACACATTCTCGTTCAGTTCTACATTCTAACAGCAACTTCTGGCGGAACCTGTGGCAGCAGTTCGGCACGCGACTACAGTTTAGTTCATCATACCACCCCGAAACCGACGGACAGACAGAACGGACAAGTCAGACCATGGAACAGCTCATCCGGGCCACGTGCGACGACCCGACCACGTAGGAACAGCAACTGCCACTCATCGAATTCGCGTACAACAACTCGCCATCCGCCACGACCCAACAGTCACCGTTTTACCTGAACTACGGACAAGACCCCACAGTACCCATGACCCCGAATCCCGACAACCCAGTCCCACGCGCGCAACAGTTCGCAGAAATACTACAAGCAGCACGGACCCGAGCAGCAGAAGCAATTAAAAAATCAAACATCATCGCCAAACGCAACGCTGACCGCCACCGCCGACCTGTCACTTACCAGCCAGACGACCTAGTTTTACTCGACACTCAAAACCTCCGCCTGCCCATCACCCCAAAACTCCGCCCCCGATATTGCGGGCCATTTCGCATCAGCCACATGATCACACCCGTCACCGCCCATCTCCTCCTCCCTGCTGACTGGTACGTCAGCCCGTCATTCCACGTCAGCCTGCTTCGCCCATACGTGCCATCCACCAGCCAACTGCCTCGCAACCGCCCCGCCAGCATGACACGACCACCGACTGAGCCAATCATCACGCCTGAGAAAATACTGAGCCATCGAGTACGTGATCCACGGGGAGCCCGCAGAATCGAATTCCTGATCCGCTGGAAGGACCGCACGCCCACCGAAGACAACTGGGTCCCCCTGGATAGAATTGAGAATCACCCTGTCCTCACTGAGTATCTGCGAAGCCGAAACTTTCGAGATGTACACGCGCTCTCGTAAGAGGGGCCTCCTTGGGGAGGGGGGTAGTGTAAGGAAAATCCCTTTTCCTTACTTTGCGTCCCTGCTCAGCGCGTACACCACTGTTCCCGCCAGCAGCACCCAACCGTAATCCGTTACCACTCGCGACACTCGCTTCGACACCATTCCCGCCACCGTTCACGACGCGACCCAACCTCACGGTTCGGTTGGTAACCCGCGCTCCGGACCTCCGCCTCGACATCTCCCAACCTCGGCACTAGGCCCGTCGCGCACCCCACTTTTCACACACTACCGTTACCACTGTAGTTTCGCTATATATTTTTCGCTCATGCCTTCGCTCATTTTACTTTTTACTTCGATAGTGCAATTCTCGTTCGCTCACTCAATTGCACTCGTAACACTATGTTTTATCGCAACTGAATCTTCCATGTAGACAATTGTGTTTACCTGTTTACCCAACCAGCCGCAAACTGTTTACGTGATCCTGGTTGGGTTTGATTGTCAGCCTTGGAAAGTTGATTGGTGCACGACGCAGCTCCCAAAACTCATTTCGCGACGGAGCATGCACCGTTACCACATTCGCCTCTCAAAGTGTTGTACACACGTTTCCCTCTCGGCGACCGACGTGGCTGGCGGATGAGCATAGGTGGCAGCCTAGACCTCTCTTGGCCTCTCGTGGGCGTCCTCTCAAGGTTCGAGCCTATCCATTTTTCGCCATCCTTTGCCACTGCCAAATCTTTGTGCCAGATAGGCAGCGCCAATCCCATGTTCCCGAAGGCTGAGCCTCGTGTTGGCAGCTCATATTTCTTGTGCCGAGGCACTTTTTCATTCACGTCACGCCCATCTCTCTACAGCCAACCTCGTGTAGCCCTCGTGCAGCTTTCTCAACCCTCAACCTTTCAGAAATGGCTGCCCTTGCCGCTACCATGGCTGTTGCCCCCATGGCCTCCCTCAAGGCCACCACCACCCTGAAGACTAGCGTCGCTAAGACCTTCAAGGTTGCTCCTTCCGCTGCTCGCGTCTCCATGGCCTCGTACAAGGTCACCTTCGAGACCCCGAGCGGTACCTCCACCATCGATGTCGCTGACGACGTGTACATCCTCGACGCCGCTGAGGAGGCCGGACTCGACCTGCCCTACTCCTGCAGAGCTGGTGCTTGCTCGTCTTGCGCCGGCAAGGTCACCGCTGGCAGCGTTGACCAGTCTGGCCAGTCCTACCTTGATGATGACCAGATGGCCAAGGGCTTCGTCCTGACCTGCATCGCCTACCCCACCTCCGACCTGACCGTCCAGACCCACCAGGAGGACAGCCTCTACTAAATGGTGATCTTGGATTTTTGTTAGGTCCATCGGACACGTTTTTGATGGTGAATGTGTAGAAGCAGGCTGAAGCCTTGTGGATACGATTGATCCTTCCGAAACTGTCTAATGAAATTCATTCTTGCTCATTTGATGAATAATGATCGTAGCTCTGGAACACGGTTTAAGTTCACAATAATGATCGTAGCTCTTTGGCTGGTTTATCGCGTGAACAATTATGGTCAAGTCTCGACCCCTTGTTCGTGATCAAAATCATGGCTCATTAGAGCACTAGATAATCATTCGTTTCTTTGAGGGTGAAGTAAGTTGAATCAAAGATCGCATCTGTGCGTTGATGTGCAAAGGTGGCTGTAATCCCATTTGTAAAGGGAGAAAACGATTTTAATTTTCGGCTAGGCATGATGCCCACCAGCTTGTGTAGATGTGATAAGGTCAATAAACATCTTCTAACGAAATTCATCTTGCATTAGGCATGATGCCCACCAGTCCATTATCTTTGATCCTATATCCACCCGAAACGATTTCCTGCCGTTGCTAGATAAACAAAATCGCCCATCAAAGGGCAATCAACAGTCGCAGGGTTCAGGAGGCAAGGCTACTGAGAACTAGGAATGTACTACACCTTAAAAATAAAACGGAGCTGTTTTGTCATGTACTACATCCAATCCAAGTAAAGCCTTGTGCACATTTTTGTGAAGTTAACGGGTAACATGATGATGATCAGTTAGCAAGCACACAGTGCCCGAAGGCAACATGGACAGCTTTCGTGGGCTTTGCACGATTGGAAGGCAAAGATTACATTATGGAAAAATCACCTCGTTCCGAGGGAAAACATTATGCTCTTACTTCGGAGTGCCAATGCACCACCGATTGAAAGCAGGCATGATTTCTGGAGAACGATCGGCCACTGCTCTTCTAACGAAGTTCATCTTGTATTTCTGCCCTTGCTTCAAATCGTCAGCCATGCCATGGGCTCTGACCTCTTTGCTCACACTGCAAAGAAGAACAGGCACCGGAGTAAGAACGTAAACCACTTGCCAACATAGCGCCAGCATAGCGAAATGTCGACGGAGGAGTCTGAAGGAACACATTGTGCATCGTACCTGATTCCAGGATCAGCGATAATCTTCCGTGTCAGTGCGAAGATGGAGAGCCCAGCTGCAGTTCCCACTGCCGCGAGGAGCGGGTAAACCTGTTGAAAAGGGAAGTATCACAGTGCGTGGTCCGATGTTAATAAAAGCAAAGGAAGAAGCCAACTGCACACACCGACGACAGACCGCAAATACTGACCTCGGGCTTAACCCATCTGCTTGCAGTGGACGCCATGGAAGTATATTGAGAAGAAAGTGGCGACCACTGGGACAAATGGAGAGGACTGAGCCAGGGTTCAGTGACAGCGAACAGGTTCATATACTCTCAGCAATCGGCTCAGGGTTGGATCGAGGTAACCGAGATCGATCGGAGACACCAGTTGTGTGAGGGTGGTTGTTGGGAGACAGGGTGAGTGGAACTGGGGGTGGGGGTGGGGGGCTCACTCAATGGTCGAGGCGCCCTTGGTGATTGATGTGTGACGCTTCGTCAAAAACCCAATCGATACCTTTGAGGCTTGAAGGTTAATTTTGATTGGTTCTGTCTCCGCCTCCTTGGACGAAGTGGGCCAAGGCTGCAGTTCAGCTGTCCCAAGCCATCCACGTGTGGACCACGACAGCCGTGGATGCGTCGGTGTGCAAAAAGGATGGATGTCAACGGCCAATTTTCGAGATGGCACGTGAAAGGTCCAGCTTCGAGCTCTTGAAATGCCTGGTGGAAGTTGACGCGGCCTACACTCAACCGTCGATTACTGCTAAAGTATAGTTGTACTTTACAAAATGCACGGTATATTCTTTTTTGCAAAGCTAGTACACGCAGTGATTTGCCCTCCAGTTGGCATAATTGGCGAGGTGCTGCAAAATAGGAAATACACAGAGCGCATTATATTTGGTACAATTAAGCACCAGATTGATTGGCCCATCACAAGCTAGTTTGTGAGCAAGCTACACAAAAAATGATGCTGTAGTAGCCACAGTGGTGCTAACATACAACAAATGGGATGATAGTGATTGGATAACATTTTCAGGCAGGATGAAACCATGAACATCTACTATGATATGTAAACATGCAATTGGGCATCTAAGTATGTACAGAAATATACAAGGTGAAGTCTTCCTCACTCCCGCTCCCCAGGCACTTTGCTGAACAAACTCCGCCAGGCAGGGTGGAAGAGGATGACCATCACCAATTTTCTTTCAGCAGCTTAGCCTTCTCCAGAATGAATTTTCCCTCCTTGTACTTCTGCAAGTCCTCGTACGCCTTCTCGTACTTCCACCCCAGGACCTCGTGGCACTCAGCGCAGTAAATATCTGCCACGGTGTGAAGTCCCGTGATGAGCAGCCTGTCTTCCTTGGGACCTACCATAACATTGACTACGTTTGAGAAAAGATACGCCCTACCGTGCCGCCCCTGCGCCCACCAAAAAATACGACTTTGTCAGAGTTTAGGCGGAGTCACGGCGAGTTAAGGTGGGACCATGGAAAACGTTGTCAAATTCCTCACCTGAAAAGATTTGGATATAATCTCGTCGTGGTCCGCAGCATGACTCCGACAATTACTACAGCTGTAGATGCGGGCTCCTTGGAGGTAGTGCTTGAATGGTCGACCCATGCTGTATGTCAAAAGTTGTGAAACTGAAAGCTCACGCATACACAGTCAACAAGTGCAACACATGAGGTGAGGGATGTGGTTGTGAGAAAAGCACATCAATTTGGTTCCTCCCACCACAACCAAGCTCTCGAGGACACAACCCTAGGACTGCCGGGCGCGCAAGGTCGCGAAAATTGAGAATTTCGCCAGCACACGACAAGCCTCTGCTCTGTGATGATCTGGTCTTCACGAAATACTCCGAAAGCCTGTGTTCGCTCGTTTCTCCAATATTCCTGGCATGGGGTTGCTATAAGAAGTTACACAGAGCACCAGTGCCATTGCCCTCTGGGCTACTGGGACAACAATTCCACTGGGTGCTGGAAGTACAGCGGAATTTGGCCCAGAAGCTCCCATCAAGAATCCGAAAAATTCGGGGATTGCCAAACTGCTGGCTCTGTGTCACCACTTCGAGTTGACCAATGAGAAACCATCAAACGCAGCCAATGGGGATGTGCCATCCCACCACCTGACATGGACCCCATTTCTCATGCTCTGGGAGAGTGCTGACGCAACAGCAGCATGACACTGTTCAGAGAAGTTTTGTGCGGACCCCCTATACGCTCCTTCGAATTACCATACAGAATCTTTCCAGTTAGTGAAAGCATTTTCAAACAAAGAAACTTCGTCCTCCCCTAGCTTGTACCCTAGATACTCTGCACGCGGGCACAATTACATAATGCCAGTGCTGTCACCACTGTTCACTTAACACTGCCATTGGCTGACGAGTCTTATCTCATCCAATCCTCATGCGGTATGCGAAGCGCGTCTGGGTCCCCCCGTCCCCCTCTCCCCAGCCTGCCCTTTCCCCGTCGTGCGCCAAAAAAGCCAAAACGCACGGCGAAAGTCAGTCAGTCACCGACTGCAGCCCCTTCCCCCACGTTTTCATTCCCGCACGCGCATCCTCCCTCCCCCAACCCAGCTCACTCCCTCCCCCTCCCCCCTTCCATCTTCCCCTTTCCCCCTTCCCCCTTCCCCCTTTGCATTTGGGCTTTTGCTCTTCCCCTCCCCTCCCCTTCCTCCGTCCCTCGGTAGCTCCGTCGCTCCGTCGCTCCATCCCTCCGTCCGTCTGTCCGTACTCCATCCATACCTCCCTCCCAGTAGGGATAGTCTCTAATAAACATTCTGTTCGGAGTGTCACGCAGCTCTATGCGATCCGTCTCTCCTCGTGCAGCTATGGCGTTACGCGCGTCGTCTACCCTTCTCATTCTCGCAATGCTGCTGCTTGTCTCCCGCAGCAGCAACGCCTTAGACACTACCACCTATCCCTCCGTCGGCCTCCACTCTCCGACACTGGAGAACCCACAAGATGCATTCTCTGCCGTTGATGTTCACAGCAAGATCCTCGGCGATCCCAAGGTATCCGTCGCCGTGAAATTCATCTCCAACCTGCTCACGCGCACCGCGGCGCGCCTCGCGGTCGGCAACTACGAAAAAGCCGCCCGGGAGCTCTTCGCGCCGCTTGCGCTCGTGCTCCCGCCGGACCAGCCGCTACAGTACCTCCCGGATCCGATCTCCCAAGCCACCTTCTTGCAGCAGCGGCAAGATCTGATCGGCGCGACGTTCGCCGTCACGCGCCTCGACGTGTACGAGCCGACGCCGAAGCGCTACCTGGACTATTCCATCGCGACGCTCGGCTCCATGTGGACCCTGCAGGGCCCCGCTAAGTTCGTCTTCCTCTGGGACCTTGTGCGCGACGACGGGCTTGCCGCTGCCGGCGCCGTGGCTGATAACGCGGCCGTTAACTCTGCCGGTGACGCGGCCGATAACTCGCTCTACATCTGGGCGGTTAGTTGGATGTCGTGGAACTACGACTTCCCCGCGCCCAAGAAATCGCCGCCTCCGCCTCCGCCCCGCCCGACCCCGCCGCACCCCCCTTCCCCCGCGGCGGCTGACGGCCTCCGCGAGAGCATCCGCGAGGCGCTTCTCCGCGGAGAAACCGGCGGCGCGTCCGAGCTCTTCCCCCGCGCGGCGCGGTCGGACTTGGAGACGGAAATGCAGGCGGCGTGGTTCGCGGAGGCGCAGGCGGCGGCGACGGCCGCCGCGTTCGGCGGCGGGCCGAGGCCGATTCGGCCGGACGCGGGGTCGGCGCTGGTGGGCATTCAGGCGTCTATCGAGGCGTTCTTTAACGCGCTCGCGTCGGGGGATCTGCTGGGCGCGAGCCGGCTGTTCGGACCGCCGGGCGAGCCGACGCTGCTGCTCCCGCCGGGCTCGCGCGCGCTCATGCTGGCGACTACCCCGCAGATACTGCAGTTGCTCGGGGTGAGAGCGCGCGGGAGGAGGGGGAGGAAGAATCGGGGAGAAGGGGGGAGGGAAGGGTGGGGGGTGCTTGGTGTGGGGAGACGGGAACAGGGTGCGAAGAGGGAATGGGCGGAGACGCTGTTTTGATGCGTTATTGAGTTGTTTCGTGTTTGAATAATATGTTTTAGAGTCCTCTCTCCCCTTCCCCCCCTTTTCCCGCCCCTTTCATCCCCACCCATTTTCCCATCTGCTCACCTCTCGTCCCAATGCTCCTATAAACACCCACTCCCCTCGTTTTTCGTGCAATCTCCCTCTCCCACCACCTCCCCCTTCGCCGTTACCTCGCCTGTCCTCCCCATCTCGTCTTACTCTCTCTCCATTCCACCCACTCACCGCGCTCTGCGTACACCCACCCAATTCCACCCCTTGACTCATGCACAGGATTTCGTGGCGAGCGGGTCGACGGTGGCTGTGACTATGGAGGAGGTGATAGTGGTGAAGTACAAGGTCAGCAGCTACCCCATCAAAGGGCAGAACCCCTACCACGTCATCACGCGCGGCTCGTACACGCTGCTCGATAACACCGGTGAGCGAGGGGACATGGGCGAGAGGAAGGGAGAGAGAAGGGGAGGGAAGGGAGGAGCGATGGAAGGAAGGGAAGGAGCGAGGGAGGGAGGGAAGGGATGGAGGGAGGGAGGGGGGAGAGGTTACAGGCAACACTAGGTGGTATTTTCCCTGCTGTGCTGTGCTGCTGTGAAACAATGGTGATCGACCGTAACATTCACGTTACAGCTTGCACATCAATCTTGCCATGTTGGGTATCTCAATGCATCCTGCATGTGCGTTCGTGTGTGCGCGTGCGTGTGCGAGTGCCTCCCTGCATGCATATGCATCTGCCACATCTGCCTGTGTATGCGCATCTCATCTGCATGTATGGTGCTGTGCTATCTCTATCTCCGACCAGCCACGGAGACGGACAGGGGCAAGGTGGTGCAGCTGTGGACGCAGTACCTGCCGCCGCTGCCCCCGCCACCTGCGCCGCAGCCAGCACCGGCTGCAGCGGGGATCTCATGGTACTTCAGCTGGGCGCAATGGAGCTCTGACGGCCCCCTCCCCCCTCCGGAGCTGCTTCCCTAGAGCACTGTGCATGCGTGCATGTGTGTATGTGTGCGTGCATGTGTGTATGTGTGCATGCCAGCGCGCATGTTTGTGTGTGTGTCTGTGTTAGTCTGCTGTGTGTGCGCGCTGCTAGTCTGCTGACGCGTAACAAGCATGGTTTAACTGGGCTGCCCAGTCACCGTCCTTTCTAACACAGTCATCTTCTAGAATAAACTGGTTTCAGGGCCATGTCAGTGCAACTCCAACCGTTCACCCCATTTACACTGTCTCGCGTGCAAGTACTTTAGCAGTGCTAGCCACGGGAACACTGAGGTGCGGTGTATTAGTCTGCTTATTATCTATTTATTACTATGCTTTTACGCATAAGACTTAGGAGAGATGCTCTTTCCTTGTTAGGGGCTTTTCAAGGAGTAGCGATGTATAATTGATTTGCTGTCTTGATTGACAGCCATATGATTTGTTTTTCCGACACTGCTGCTTGTACAGCACCCAGCTTCTCTATAAAGAACCAAATCTCAGACATGTATGCGCTCGGCGCGCATCTCGTAACCCAGCCGAAGCAGGTCAAAGTAGGCAAAAGAATTCCTGCGCCAGCAGCCAACGCGACACTTGCGTGACCCACCCGCCACTATTGGATTTGCGCTTTCGCCACGAGTTCGCCAGTTCGCGGGTTTGCCAGTTCGCGGGTTTGCCAGTCCGTCGGGTAGCCGGTTCGACATTCACCGAATTAACCGCTGCTGGCTAGCACGCCATGTCGCGTCCGCGACCTCGCATCATATCCGGCGGGCAAACCGGAGCGGATCGCGGGGCGCTGATGGCCGCGCGCGCGCTCGGCGTCCCGTTCGGCGGAAGCTGCCCCAAGGGCCGGCGCGCGGAGGACGGGGAGATCCCGCGGGAGCTGGCGGAGCGCATGGCGGAGCTCCCGCAGGCGGAATACTGTGCGCGGACGGAGCGGAATGTGGCGGACGGTGATGTGACGCTGGTTCTGCTGCTGCAGGGCCCGTGGGCAGGCGAGGTAGGAGGAGCAGGAGAAGCAGACGAAGCAGGAGGAGCAGACGAAGCAGGAGGAGCAGGAGGGGCAGGAGGAGCAAGAGATGGAGGAGGAGCAGAAGGAGCAAGAGGAGCAGGAGATACAAGGGGGTATGTTTGGATGGTTGGTGAGACGATGGAGGGGGGTAGAGCCTCTGCTCCTCCTCTTGCTCCTCACTGGGAAAGTGGAAGTGAGAAGAGGGAGTGGGTGGGAGGGAGGGCGGTGGGGCGAGTGCGGCAGGTGAGTGCAGGCACGGAGCTGACACTGGAACTAGCGGCAAGGTATGGCAGGCCGTGTTTGGTGGCAGTGCTGCCGCCGTGCAACAACTGCTGCCGCTGCTGCTGCTGCTGCATGGGAAGCTGTCATGGGGTTGATCGTGCATTGCCAGATGGTGGTCGCGCCGATGCTGCTGAACTGTGCGACGAGCAGCAGCAGCAACAGGAGCATAGTGAGAGCAGCAAGGTGTGCTGCAGGCGGTGGCAAGGCAGAATGGGAGCATGTGAGGAGAGGGTGAGTGGCGTGGCGGAGAGGGTGTGTGTGTGGCTGGAGCAGCAGCAGGCGCGTGTGGTGAACGTGGCAGGGCCCCGGGAGAGTGAACAGCCAGGGCTCACTCGTGCTGCTGTGTGCTTCACCACTGCTCTGCTGCTGCGGTGGAAGGAGACATTGCCATAGGTTCAGTTCGGTTCAGCTCTCTTGACTCATGCAGGGCGCTGCACTACACATTCTGGCAACGTTAGGCAACATATTGCTGGTTGCCGTACCAGCCTGTTTTTGGAAAGAACAGCTATACTGATACCGTATGTCTAAATTATAAATACACACGTTTTCTGTGATTTGTTGCAGCTTCTGCTAACAGTGGGCCAAAGAAACCAACGTGTCAGCAATCAATACACCTCTCCCGCCTAATTGCTCTTATGCACATCATTTTTATGTACACCATAGAGTGAAGAACATGATTCATAAAGTATACAACAGTTGATCTAGTGATGCCCACGATCTTCGACTATAAAACCTACCGGTAACTACCGTGATAGATTGTACCTTGGTCCTTAGCACTGGAACCACAACTTCCCCTGCAGACTGGAGCCAGCGTTTTTGTCCCGGGATTATGAAATATATTGTCTTGTGCTGTGTGGTTGGAAGGGTCACTACCTCACAGCACACAGATGGGTCAGGCTTGGCAGAACATTGGACCTGTGCATGCACACGCACACATGCATTCACACATGCTGGACACCTGGTGATCGCACGCCCACATGCACTGTGCACACAAGCACACGTGGAGGAGACCTGTAAGCCACCCCTCAGATTTGATGTCAGCCAGCCACAGATTGACCCCTGGGACGTTCCAAGTCAGCGGAGGGGGTTTTTTACGCCCCTCCTCCCTCCTCCCACAATACAGCCCAGTGCCCACCCACAAACACACCACCAACAAATCCAACCACCCACCCTCATCATCCACCCACCTGCCCACCAGGCCCCAACCACCCCCACCTACATACAATCCACAACTGTGCTCCCAACCATGCTCCCCCATCCCCCAACCATAACCACCCACCCAAAATACCCACCACTCACCCACAACCACCCGCCCACCAACAGCCTCCACTCCCCACCCACCCACACCCAACAAAGTTACGCACCTACTCACAACCACCCACCTTCACCACCAAACCACCACCCACACTCACACACCCACAACCCATCCAAAACCACCCAGCACCCGCCCAACCCAATCACCCACCACCCCCCACACCCATCAACACCAATAGCACACCAGCACCCACCAACCTAAACACAAGTACCCACCCACTACCAACCAACACCCATCCACAACCAACCACCCCAACCACCGGGCTGCCCGCCCCACTCTCACAACCATACACAAACACACACCACCCGGCTCAAATCTCTACCCACCCACCTCGCCACTCCCACCCCTCCACCACCCACCACTCTCACCTCTCACTGAAAATCACCTTGTTTCTCACCAACCACTGTCACCACCGACTCTCACCACTCACTCAATCTAACAACCTCACCATACCCATCCACAACTCATTGTATCCACTCACTCTCACCACTCAGTGTCACCACACTCCTACCATTCTGGCCACTCAATCTCACCACACTCTCACCACTCAAACTCACCACTCAAACCACTCATCCTCACCACCTACTGCGCTCTCAGTCTCACCACAAAGTCAAATAATAAATCTGGGCATCTAAAACCAGCTCCTCTCATGCAACAGGTGGCATCAGTACCATACGGGTCATCATATGCCACCAACCAAGCATGAGCATCATGCTCTCATGCAACAGGTGGCATCAGTGCCACCCAAGGGGACCTAGCTCCTTTCACTTGCCCTCACCCACCCAAGGGGACTCAGCCCCTTTCACCAACTCATGAGCATCATGCTTCCATGCACGGGTGGCATCAGTGCAACTCATCATGTGCCCCCAACCAACCAAGCATGAGCATCACGCTTCCATGCTTAAGGGTGGCATCAGTGCAACTCATCATGTGCCCCCAACCAGCCAAGCATGAGCATCATGCTTCCATGCACGGGTGGCATCAGTGCAACTCATCATGTGCCCCCAACCAGCCAAGCATGAGCATCATGCTTCCATGCTTAAGGGTGGCATCAGTGCAACTCATCATGTGCCCCCAACCAGCCAAGCATGAGCATCATGCTTCCATGCTTGAGGGTGGCATCAGTGCCATATGGCTCATCATACGCCACCGCCAACCCCACTGCCTCTCACCACCATCACCCCACCACCACCACCACCACACAGCCCACCAATCCCCTCCCCACCTTACCTGCCAGCAGTAGGAGCAGCAGACAGCCCACTCCCCTTCGGAAACAGCACCCTCAGGGGCTGTGCCTTGAAGGGCGCGGTGTGGCAGTGGAAAATTGCTTCCAGCCCAAGACTCAAATCCTGCCCCTGACGTAGCTAGAGCTGACGCGAACCAGAGTCGCCGGCCGGTCGACTCTGACGGTGCCCATTAAGCCTTAACGTCAGGTTAGTTACTTGAGCACCGAGTGCCGTGCCGCGCAGATTCCACCCACCACACCCCGACCCACAAGACACAACCCCAAAGAGTGCTGCCCCTAAGGAAGTGAACTGCCCACTTGCTCCCACGCTTCCCCCCCCCCCTCCTCTCATGCCCCTTCACCCCATGCCTGCTTACTTCTACGTACCTTGCGTAGCGCCATGATGCCTCAGCCGTGATGGAAAGTGGGAAGGGGGGAGGGAGAGGGAAGGGGGGGAGGATGAAAGGAGAGTTGCCTCAGTCCCGCCCTTGCTCCAGTGCTCCCTCCCTTCCTCTGGCCGCAACAAAGGGTGAAAAAGGGGAGGGGGGAGGAATGAGAGGAGAGATGCCACTGTCCCGCCCATGCTCGAGTGCTCCCTCCCCCTCTCTGGCTGCAAGGGGTGGGGGGAGAGAAGAGAGGAGGGGATCAGATCTCTATACCTCACCTGTTACCTCACCTGATACCATACCACACCTCGCTCACGACTCGACCTAGCCTAGCCTGCCCTCTAGCCCTCCACCCCCCACTGCTGCTGCTGCTGCTGCTGCTGCAACTGCTGCTGCCGGTCTGCTACTCAGCTTCTCTGCTACAGTCTTCACTCGATGCCAAGTGACCTGGTAGGGGGGGAAGAAGGGGGGAAAGTGACAGTGAGTTAGTTGGCAAGACCATACAAACAAAACAAAACTGAAGTTGACAGAAACAGAGAAACAGAGAGGAATGAGGGCAGAATTGAAGAGGAGAAACAGAGAGGAATGAGGGCAGAGAGGGGAGGTGACGTACATTGAGAGGCCAAGCCCACCCCGATACTCTCCCTTGTGGCAGCGACTGGCAGTGCTGCCTCCCTCCCATCCCCACGGGTACCTGCACGGCCACAGGGGAGGGGCGTGAGGGAGCGTCGGTGTTGACCCCCGCCCCTCCCCTCCACCTGCAAGGCACACGCAGAGCTGGTCAGTGGGCAGCGAGGGGAGGAAGGGTGAGAGTGCAAGAGCGAGAAGAGAGTTTGCAAGGCGAGAGCAGGGAGGGGCCACTGGTGGAGGTGAACCTGAGAGGGTACCTGCACCTGAAGGGGTTACCTGCACCTGAAGGGGTTACCTGCACCTGATCTACACCTGAGGGGTTACCTGGAGTTGGGGGGTCTGTGGCATGTGAGGCGGACCTAACCAGTGGCACTGTTTCAAGAGGAAGGGTGCGAAAGCAGATGCGACAAACGAAATGGCAGCAGCAAGGGCGAGGGCATGGAGGAAGGGACACTTAGCTGATTGTGTGAGAGCGAGCAGAGGGCAGCTGAAGCACCACTGCAGTCTTCACTCGATGCCAAGTGACCTGGTAAGGGGGGAAGAAAGGGGGGAAGTAAGAGTAAGTGAGTTGGCATGACTAACAAGAAAACAAACTGAAGCTGAGGAAAACGAGAAGGCGGAATTGAAGAGCAGAAAGGGAGAGGGATGAGGGCAAGAGAGAGGCTCACGTACCTTGAGAGGCCAAGTCCACCCCGATACTCTCCCTTGTGGCAGCGACTGGCAGTGCTGCCTCCCTCCCATCCCCACAGGTACCTGCACGGCCACAGGGGAGGGGCGTGAGGGAGCGCCGGTGTTGACCCCCGCCCCTCCCCTCCACCTGCAAGGCACACGCAGAGCTGGTCAGTGGGCAGCGAGGGGAGGATTGGTGAGAGTGCAAGAGCGAGAAGAGAGTTTGCAAGGTGAGAGCAGGGAGGGGCCACTGGTAGAGGCCAAGCAACAAAGCACAGACCCCAAGGGGTGAACCTGAGAGGGTGCCTGCACCTGAAAGAGTTACCTGCACCTGAAGAGGTTACCTGCACCTGATCTACACCTGAGGGGTTACCTGGAGTTGGGGGGTCTGTGGCATGTGAGGCGGCCCTAACCAGTGCACTGCTTCAAGAGGAAGGGTGCAAAAGCAGATGCGACAAACGAAATGGCAGCAGCAAGGGCGAGGGCATGGAGGAAGGGACACTTAGCTGATTGTGTGAGAGCGAGCAGAGGGCAGCTGAAGCACCACTGCAGTCCTCCCATCCCCACAGACACCTGCACAGCCACAGGGGAGGAGCGCGAGGGAGTGGCGGTGTTGACCCCCACGCCCCTCCCCTCAACCGGCAAGGAGAGAACTGAAGAGAAGTGAGTAAGCGGCTAGGGGTAGAAATGTGAGACGAGTGCATGAGATGGCATGTGGGAGCAGAGAAGGGGGCCACTGGTGCAGCCTCAGCTACAAGCCACAGACCCAAGAGAGGTACACACCTAGGGAGGCTTACCTGCAGACCTGAGAGAATACCTGCAGTACCTGGGGGAAATTACCCAAAAAAAGGGGTCTGTGGCTTTAAGCTTTGACTAAACCAGCGGCTTGTGTTTGAATGCACAAGCGGCAGGAGATGCAGCAAGGACCGAAATGGAACGAAAATGCACGCAAGAGGCAGTTCGGGTACTTAGCTGCGGGTGGGTTGGGTGGAGAGCAGGTGCTGCTGGTGCACTCCATGTCCCCCGCCACTGCTGCTCCCGTGTGAGCGACCTGCTGGGACGAGAGGGGGCAGATTAGGACAGAGAAGGGAGGGGGGAAATGATGGGGATGTGAAGGCTGAGCAGAGGAGTGCAGAGGGCAATGAGAAAAGATGCAAAACGGAGTGGA